ATATGTATATGTATATATATATATATATATATATATATATATATATATATATATATATATATATATATATATATATATATATATATATATATATATATATATATGGAGCAAGAACCCCACGTCGAAAAATTGAAGCTAAAGAGTAAAGATGGCGGAATTTGACATCCAGTGCCAGTCCCTTTCTATTGTTTTTGTCTGCGCGGTTGACACGAAGCCGGCAAGGAGTGTACCGAAATTTCGTGTTTGACTTCGATTTAAAGAATAATATTATGGTTTATTATGAACTGATAACTTAATTAGCGATACCGTCAGTTAGGAGAAAACTAGTAAATGCGGAGAACATGCACAAGCGAAAGCGTGGTAGCGTGGCAGACCAAAAAATTAAAAAGCAAACCTTTTCTGATTTGTCTTCGCGGTACTCGTACTTTATTGTCGCTTCTGTTTCCTTCATCAGAGAAACTATAGTCTCGTGCTTTTTGGCTTTGTTCAATCGTGATAGGAGGCATTTGTAAGAGATTCTGCTTCCTTACGTCTTCTTACAACAAAGAGGGTAATATACTCTCTACCTAAGCTTGCTGATTGTAGTATTGCTGTTTTTTCAAGGTAGCTTTTTATAGCGTTCTTATGTTTGTTTAAGTATTGTTTCGTATTTAATACTCAATAACGCGACCATTTCTAATACGATTTACGTGCTAGGCTAATATTGTCTTTATATAGTTGTTGTTTTCATATAGGCATGCATATGTAAGACGTTGCTCTTCCTGGAATTTCTTTAATAAATGCAAAATATTGGTTCTTTCCTGCTAACAACAACAACAAAGATCGCAAGAGCCAATACTGTCCCACTTCACTTGTCGATCAGTAAATGCTGGAAACGATCTTCGTCAACGGCATATATCATGTTGTTTTACACTATGTTTAAACTATGCCTACTTATTGTAGTATTGCTGTGTTTCCAAGGTAGGTTTTTATCCATGCATTGGTTTAGCATTTATAGTACTAAATGGTCAATAACACGAGGATTTGTGTGCAAGGGATAATATAGTCCTAGTAGGCCTAGTCTTTGGTTTTTGTTTTGTTATTGCTATTCTATATCAGAGCGTGTATGCCTTTCATATAACTGCTTCTATCATTCAAAATTTTAGGTATTCAAGATGTCATGACTAATTCGCTGTTTGTCAGCCACCAAGGAAATGATCTCAACAATTGTGGTAACTGGACTATGCCTTGTCGTACTGTGCGACATGCAGTGAAGATGTCTAATGATGGAGATCAAATTTATATTGATTATGCACAAGGAAGACCGTATATGGAATGTGAAAATGTGACAGAATCAACATGCTCCATCGAGTTGCCAAAATCTGTTTCGTTTCATGGTCTCTACGGAAAAGCTGAAATTCGATGCAAGAATGGCCTGAGGTTTTTCAAGATTAGAAGCCCAAGTTTTAACATCACGCGAGTCAAATTTTTTAACTTGGTTATATCTAGATCAAATACTGTAGCTGAACTTGACGTTGGTGCCAGGACGGAATTAGTCTTTAATAATACGCTGATCACAAAAAACCAAATTGGTATATACAGCAAACGCTCGACTGACTGTTTCATTCTGATATACAATTCCAGTTTTGAACGTATTTTCTTAGGAGGAGTACGTCTACAATGTTTGAATCTCACTGCACGCATTATTTCCAGCACCTTCAAGTTATCTCCTCTGCTGCTCGGGAACAGAGGTAATAAGCCCGTTATAAGACAGAAAATAAAGGTACTTGTCCTCGGAACAATTTTTGATGGCGAGAATATCCAAATGTGCAGCGCTGATATGTTTTCGATAAAGCTTCATGCCACCGTTGTTAACATAACAATAGTTGATTCAGAATTTAGAAATCATTTTGGATTTTCCTGTGTCTTAGGAGAGTTTTCTACATTAAGAATAGTCGACCACATGTCTGTACCTCGAAACAAAACATTTATATTCTTGAAGAATTTACTTGTTGAAAATAATTACAATAAAATGTCTGCAGTTGTGCTATCTGCAGGGTATTTAAAGTACACTTTTGTGAAAGTTGAGATGCGAGACAGTATTTTGAGGAACAATTCGGAAGCACTCTTGGTTACCACTCATCGTTTTGCATATTCCAAATCGTCACCCACAATATTCCTTACGAACAACACCTTTGTCGACAATTTTTATAAGTATATTAAACCTAAAGTTGCAGCAGCACTTTACTTTAGGTCTGGTAAAACTCGCGTATCCTCATGCCGTTTCCTTGACAACAGAGCTGGTCCAAACCCTTATACAGCGGTAGTGACAATATCTGACGAAGCCACTGTCTCTTTCGTTGATTGTTATTTTGCAAACCAACAAACTAGCGTGCAGTCGAACCAGTTATTTGCATCAGGGTTTAGAACGATTAAATTTATTGGCAAAAATACGTTTAATTTAATCGCCTTGAAAGAAGAACAGTCGGTTTTTATTCACATACCAACCTCGTTAAGCTCCGGGATGATTATGAGGAAGGATTTTAAGATCCTATGTCCACAAGGTTACAAATTGAATCCGCAGCAACAGTGCATAGGTATCACGAACGGAATGATATGTTTCTATATTAATGTCCAATGTGAACAGTGCCCAACAAAAACGTACACACTTCAAAGAGGCGAATTTATTTTCAATAAAAGCAATGACATCCAATGCCAGCAATGCCCTCGAGGAGGGGACTGTGGTAGTGGATTGGTCACGGCCAAACCAAACTTTTGGGGTTACAAAACAAAAATGAAAATGGTATTTGTCCAATGTCCCCCAGGATACTGCTGCGACTCCGAGGATTGCGTCACCTATGATAATTGTCATGGAAACAGATCTGGTACACTTTGTGGTCAATGTCCAGAAGGAATGTCGGAAACTTTGTTCTCCACACAATGTATATCAAACACAGAATGCTCCTTCAATTATTTCTTTATAATTGGCACAATTGCAATGCTTATTCTATATCTTGTCTTCTTTCTTTACCATAAAGAAATTCTGAGCATTCTTCGAACAAGTTTATTTAGTAAGCGCTTATCGTTCTCAATAAACAACAGAAACAAGCAAAGAAACAATGTTAGCACCGGTGGTAATACCTCATCACCCAGTGGGATGATTAAGATATTCTTCTATTACTATCAAGTTTGTAATTTGCTAAGAAGCTCTGTAGGATCTTCTAAAAAGGGTCAATTCATTCATAATTTTGAGAATGTTATTTCAAGGGTAATGAATATGGTTCTAGTTAATCTTCCATCGATTAAATGTCCTCTGAAGGATCTTCATGCTGTTCCTAAGGCCGTTATACTACACTCCGTGGGGTATTGTCTTCTTGTTCTTCTTTCTCTTCTTTATTTTTTAAGCAAGTTGATTCTGATCTTAAGAAGATTAGGAAATGGTGGCGATAGAAGAACAGCGTTACAACATGTTACTTCAACAGGGTCTGATCTTAGTAGTAGCGCTTCAAAATCGTCATTTTCACAACGAGTTGCTTCGGCCTTCACTTACATTTCTTTATTAATGTACGCTTCTTCAGCTAAACTCTGTCTTTCCCTGCTTCATTGTGTACCAGTTGGTGATAATCAAGTTTTATTTCTTGATGGTAGTGTAAAATGTTACCAAACATTTCAATATTTTCTTCTTGCTTACATGATTACTTCCATACTTCCATTTTGTGTTGTTCCTGTTCTCGGCTCGTATCTTTTAAAGTCTGGTCGAATTGGTGTGAAACAATTTTGTGCGGCCTGTATCTTCCCTCTACCATTTTGTTGTTTTTGGTTGTATTTGTTGCTTAAAGACTGTCGTTGTGGAAATCAGGGATCGTATAACACAACAGAAGAAAATGATAATGCAGTAAGATCGGAACAAGATAATGACGAAACACAAAGCCTTGGTAGTGAAGAAATCACCTTTACCTCCTCCATTGATAGCAATGAAACCACTTCTACGAGAAGTGAACCAGCTGTTTGCACTGATAACAATGAAGTCACCTCTGCGAGAAGTGAATCAGCCATTCTCAGTGTATTGTTGGGCCCATTTAGACCTCAGCAAGCTTTTATGTGTTTTCCTTCTTCGCATATTCCTTGGGAAGGTTTTCTCATCTTTCGTAGATTGGTCTTGATTATTGCGTTGACTTTCGTCTACGACATTCAGCTCAGACTTTTTGCAGCTTTAATACTTTGTGTTGCCATTCTAATCTTCCATATGTTTGTGTATCCTTTTCAGAGAAAAAGTGACAATAAACTGGAATCTTTTTCTCTAGGCTCACATGTGGTCCTGTGTGGTTCAACTTTAATAAAAGCTCTTTATTACGGTGAAGATTATTCTTCTTTTTCAAAACGTTTGCTTGTGTTGAATGTGATTGAAAATATTCTTATTGTCGCTCCAATATCGATCATAATGATCGTTGTTATCTTCTCTCTTGCTATAAAGTTGGTATTTGGTTTCAACTTCCTGGTATCGGTCTTGATCCGAAAGATCAGGAGGCGTTTCAGGTTTACCATGTAAATTTTAGATATTTAGTATAGTATGTATGGAGCTCCATATATGTCTTGAGCGAGAACTCGAGTCCAAAAAGTGAAGCCAGCTTCGTGTTAACCGCGCGGACAAAAACAATAGAAAGGGACTGGAACTGACGTCCTTTTGCTCTTCAATTTCCGCCATCTTGGCAAGGAGTGTGCCGAAATTTCGTATTTTGACTTCGATTTGAAGACTAATATTATTATTTTATTAACTGAAAACCTGATTAGCGAAAACTGGATTTAGCGGGAAAAAATGGTATAAAAACTGTTTACGACCTTCAGAGCTATTGGACGTCAAAGGCCGCCATCTTGGCTTCACTTTTATCATTGGATGAATGACTGACGTTCTTGAATGACTTGACGTTCCAGATATATCTAGAGCTCACTGAGTAGGAAGTATGGTTATGTAGATTAAGTAAATTCACAATTGTATGTTTACATTTATGGCAATTCATTTCTCCAACTTGATTAACTTGGAGTTTAAATATATGTTAAATGCATGGGATGATACGACAAGTTTCGTATTTGTGTAAAAGTCAAATATCAATTTTCCTGATCTATAATTTGTAACAATCAGGTTCAGTTTTGTTCAATATAATTTGATACGGGGTTATACAGGGATACGAGGTTATCTTCACCGTCGTTTGTCTATTCCACATTTTTCTTTGTCGAGAATGCTAATTCCTTCCGCTGAACTATAATCCATATCACAGGCCACAAGTCACAGTTTTGGTTATTTTTTCATTAGAAATTAAAAGTAATACATAAAAAGTATAAGTTACTATCGCACACGGGTGTCTCGCTAGACAGCGGTCTCTGTTCATTGTTGCTACCTTATTCAAGCACCTGAGCCTTATATTTCTATATATGTCACAAGCCTTTTACGTCATGCACTTATCATCTAAATCATATCCAATTATAGTAAGAGTTGAACAATACTACCAGTCTTTGATAATCAGGATAATATAAAAAGCACTGATGAAGTCGGGGCTTACTGATCGAAAGCTTTGCAATAATAAATTTACGGGTATTTTCAAAATGGTTCAACACTTAAAAGTTAGTTATTGCGATCAAAAGCAGGTGGAAGTTAAATCTGGCATTCCTCCTTGCTTGAATTATGAATTATGTCTGAATATATAACCGTGTTGTCATATTTGTTGTTGTTTTTTTCCGTTTTAACCAACTTTAATTGGTCAAAATGTGGTTTGTTTTAAATTTAAAACTTTTTAATTTTTGCCATTTGGCTTGGATGAGTCGACTTGGATGAGTTGACTTAACCAGATTTCATTGGCAATCGTCAATTCATGATATAGTTTGGTTGTTTTATGCAATGTATGTTGATTGTTTTAACCAACTAATGAATGGTTGACATAAATCATGGTAGTTTGGATCAGCGAGTTTTTGCTCCATATATATCTGGAGCAAGAACCCACGTCCAAAAAGGGAAGCTAAGGATGGCGGGAATTTGCCATCCAGTGCCAGTCCCTTTCAATTGTTTCTGTCTACGCGGTTGACACGAAGCTGGGAAGGAGTGTGACGAAATTTCGTGTTTTTACATCGATTGAAAGAATAATAATATAGTTTTATTACCTGATGACTTGGTTAACGATATGAATCGTGAGAAAAAACTGTAGAATTAGTTGGGGAAAATGATATGACAACTGTTTACGTCAGTTTCCGTCATTTTGACTTCACTTTTCTCATAAGCTGACTCTGAGCTCGCTTTGTGGGGTTAACTGGTTTGGATGGTGAAAATTTGAGAAATCATTACACTTATATAAATCTCTCCTCTTCTTTTCTTTTAGAAACCTGGGTAAAATGCGATGACGATAAAATATCTCATATCACTGGAGAAGAAGTTCTAAAATTATCAGGAGGAGGTACAAGCCTAACATTAACTTTAATCTAACCATCAGCTTAAACCCCTAATTATGTTACCCTAATCCTTAATCTTAATCGCAAACCCAACTTCGATCGTAATCCCAAAACTGATCTCACCTTTTGAAGAAGAAAACGATTTATGTAGCACTGCGGAGAACAAGGGAAAATTCATCTCCTTCATTTTTTTAGGTGACTGGCATTGTGCCTACGTTCTATTGTACGGTCCTAGACAACTTGAAATATTACAAGAAACATCTTGAGATGACGCATTGATGAGATTCCCTCGCCATGGTGTTATCAGAGTACGGTACTGTGCTTTCGTAGGTGAATCAGATTTTTCAACCTTTTGTTCGTATTTCCGAAATTATTTTTGAATGCTAGATTTTGGGAGAGCATTTAACCTTTCCACTGAAAAGGACAATTATCAATTAACTACAGAAAGTTTTGCTTCGTCATCTTTGACATTTTTCACTGACGGGATAAGTCAGAAATCATGACATTTTTTTCAATGGAAATGACCTTCACTGAAAACCAAGTAATGTTAATAAGCCATTAATTGAAATAGAAAAGGCTATCGTAGGCAACACAAACTTAGATGTTAAAATAGTTTCAATTTGAAATCAGGTTTCGTTAATTATTTTATCTATATTCTTATTAAAATACTGAACAATTTATCTCTGTTGTCACGCGATAAAACCAAGGTGATAGACAGTCAGAATTAGTTAAAAGGAAAATAATTAACTTAATCAACTCTCAAGGTTCAATTTTATCACTAAAAGTAGACAAGGATATACTAGTATGAGTATCCCTATGTTAAATCATAAACATGCATATATAGTTCAATGAAATTGATTGTTGATCAAATCTTACAAGGACAGAGTTGAACGAGGATCTCATTATGGTCAGAGTTTGAATTTGTGGAAATTGAGAGAAAACTGTGTAATCAAAGATACTGTATTTCGGTAAAGTTTTTATTTGTGGATCACGTTCACCTTGAAGCTTTACAGAAAGACCATTTTTTAAAGATTTTCTTATAACAGAGATGTTTAATATCGACAGACCCAGAAGCATTGTAGGTAAGCTTTTTCTATTCACCATTTTGTATTCTTTCTCATTTTACAAACCTTGTGATAAACTAATTTTTCTTGTCGTATTGTAGGCCATGTGACAGCATGTGTCTTGTTTACTACAGATTTTTCGACAGTAATATCATGGATAATAAAATACATGGATAGGAAACTAGCTGACGTGACCTAATGTTTTCAATGGGATGATGGCGTTGAAACCTAGTTGCAAACCAAATTCTCAAAAACGGCATGTTTACAGCTAAACATTTTAGTCAAAGAGCAAATAAATATAACTAGACCATTCTACGATGAAATCTCTAAGTATTCCCAGTCAATTTTAGCAAATATTTCAAGCACTAAACAGTGAAAAATGCATCGCAAATTTCGTAAAAATTGGCGACGCCAATTTCGTAGCTACAAATGTTAAAAAATACAAAACAAAGACGAAAAACATTTACCTTGAATACTTTGTCGTGGCTTAGGCATGTTTTTAAAACAATTAGACCAGTTTATGCTTCAATATTACTTTTTTTTAATGCGGAAAATATAGCGAAACAACAAAAATGCTGAGAACTTTGGCAGTACACGTGACGCCACAGATTGCAACTAGGTTTAGACTGTGACGTCAGCTAGTTTCCTATCCAGTTATTTTACAATCCATGGTAATATGTAAGCAATCTCTGAAGTGGGTCCATGCGAGGTAGTTGCCATCACAGAGACACTAGCCTGTCGAAGCAATCGTTCAAGATCATCATTCGAGACAAGGTACATGGCAGCAGAATCAAGGTACAGTAGAAAACCTATACTTTTTGGCCAGGGGTGGGTATTTATTTTTTAATTGATATTTGAGGTTGGGTAAAAAAATGTTTTACTTCTTAATGATTCGATCAACAAAATTTTTACCAAGAAAAACATTTCACCCCCGCCATAAATAATTGCCGCTCCCTAAATTAACTAATTGTTCATTGTGTCTTAAAATCCTACATTAGGTTTTCAAATGACATCACATTTATCATTTTGACATCCTATATAATTTGTATTATAAAAATGTTTGTCGTACTTTCACTTTTCACCGACATTTGGCTTCAACAAGCCAAGGATATTTTTCTCAGTAAATATCCCCATAAACATCATGAGTCTTTCCAGGCCGCTGAACATTGTCCCTAATCTCCGGAAGAGAATTACCAGCCGGATTATAAAGTGCTACAATATATAGATCATGTGTAAGCAGGCCATTCTTCTCTGCACAGCCAATCCCTATCTGTTTACTTTTCTTCCAAATTACTTGAGTAAACGACGATGTGTCCTTATCGACTTGAGGCGTAGAGAAACTAAAATGCTGTCCCTGGTTGTACCAGCGTTTCGTCGCCTCTTGTACACCGTAGTCGCAATGATATGGAACATTTGTTAATTTAATCGTATTCTCCCCGTATGTATTGTCCACCTGACTGGCAAGGTTCGACCGCGTACCATATACTCGGAAGTTTATACCGGAGATATTTAATGCCGGGATTGTATCTCGTATTTGGGCGTTTTGTTCCGCCAGCTGACGAGCCATATTCTTCGCGGCCGTCCCAAGTGCATTGGACCACGACAAAGGTGGTGAATGATGGATAAGACGGAACACGTTGTGAAGTTGCAGAGCTTTCATTCCGATATCGCTCTCGTCTATATTGCAAGGTAGAAACACAGTTTAATGTTTGTGACCACAGCAAGAACAGCCAGTGATTAGCAAAGCACTGATTATATTTTAAAATAGACATAGAAAGTTAATGAATCTTATGTCTGATGAAACAAAAAAGTCATCATACAATTTCAAAACCAGTGATATCAAGGTACGAAAGAATGCTGAGTCGGGGATTACTGTTTTTGCAAGGAGATGGTATATTTTGAAGCTAATTTTGACCAGAATTGTAAATTTCAGAAACTTTGTAGCATCCATTACTAAATCCACTATTTGAAATTACTTGACGAGACCTTACCTTGAGAAACACGCGTATCGCTGCTCATAAAGTATCCTTCAACTTTGTGCGTTTGCTTATTTTCAATCCTATCCACTGCATTCTTACCAAGCCATCCTAAATTCAAACAAAGTAAACACAATGAAAAAGAGGAAAAACCTGTCTTCTTATTTGATCCAGATCATATCACGGGCAATAGGACAGGTGTAGTGTTGTTAAATAGAAAGTTAGAAATGGTATTGTACTTACTCATGTATTATAATTATGTTTAAAAGATCAGAATATTCATAACTTCTTATTTTGTTTCATTATACAATTACTTTATGGTTTCCGTGTTTGGATGGCCTGATCCAAACACGGCTTTCGACCAATCAGAATACGCGTTATATACATGTTATTTTATAAAAATAGTTCTTTAATATTCGAAACAAATTCCATATCTGCTTCGTCTGCCATCGCCATGTTTACTCGTCCCAATCTACATGCTGCACGGCATTGCCGTCCCTCCTGGCAAAATAATAAGCAAGCGAGAAAAGTTAAGGAGAAATAAGAGGGTAGGAACATCGTTGTCATAAGCTGGATGCAGTGACACTTCCATATATGGCACAAACGTATCCATAACTTCCATATATGGCACAAACGTATCCTCGACGCGTTTTATAACGTTTTATTTGACGTAGGGATGACGTAATTCTGCTTCCCGCCTATGACGATTTGATTTAGTCATGTGATACAAGATTGCGAAAGCCGATTGGCCCAGAACGATGACACGCCCACGAAACGCCCACAATGTTCCTACCCCTTATTTTCTTCTTAATTTTTCTCGCTTGCTTATTATTTTGCCAGGAGGGGCGGCAATGCCGTGCAGCATGTAGATTGGGACGAGTAAGCATGGCGATGGCAGATGAAGCAGATATGGAATTTGTTTCGAATATTAAAGAACTATTTATGAAACAAAATAAGAAGTTATGAATATTCTGATCTTTTAAACATAATTATAATGCATGAGTAAGTATAATACCATTTCTAACTTTCTATTTAACAAGACTACACCTGTCCTATTGCCCGTGATCATATACATGTATATGAACGACATTGAAGATCAATGTCACAACCTACTAAACCTTTGTTTTTAAAGAAACTTTGTTTCAAACGATTGCTGACTGAGTGATCCAAATGTTTATTAGTCAAGATGGTACACGAAGAAACCTACCACTGTCTACAGCTTCACGTACTATCTCTGGTACTGATGACGTTCTGGTCACAGACTGCGATTCCTTATATCCCTTACTATCTCCTGTGTCTTCTTATATCCCTTACTATCTCCTGTGGTGAAAACGGAATGTAAGTCACAATTTCCCAACAATGACCCTTAATATCCCAGTGTCATCCAGTAATCGGAATGCATGCTCCTTTGTCTTGTCAATGTTTGAAATTCCCACTGTTCTCGTTGCCCGATACAGCCCGATAAAGGCCTATGTATATACAGTATATGATCAAAGTTACCTTTGATTTTTTCTGCCGTGATAATCGGACACTTTATTGATACACACAACACGAGCAGTACAACACGTTGAACCATTGTAGTGCGTTAAAATGATTTAAGAACAATACGAAAATGATGGTCAAAATAGCAATACATTGACTATGTAAAAATTTTGAAATATAATAATCAAGCTGGTTTGGAGCAGTTTGGCTGTCTTAAATAATAAACTTAATGGCTATATTGCATGAGTGCTCTACTATAGTTAGCTGTTTTCGAATTCGCCCAGTTTCATGCTTCCTGTGTGAACTGGAAAGGCGAAATCGGGAAAATGCGAGTAGGATTTAGAATTCCCCTGTTTCCATGTAAACGGATCCGTAGGATAGACACAGAACAAGGAAATGCAGAAAAGCACGTGATACAAGCGGAAGACTAATGACAGAGAAAAAGAAATCGATAGTTAGCTCATGTTTTCTTCGATAGTTAGCTCATGTTTTCGAATTCGTCCCGTTTTATCCTTCCTGTGTGAATGGGAAAGGCGAAATCGGCAAAATGCGAGTACGATTTAGAATTCCCCTGTTTCCATGTAAACGGATCCTTAGAATAGACACAGCCTAAAGGGCAAAATAAGGAAGTGCAGAGAAGCATGTGATACAAGCGGAAGACTTATGGCAGAAAAAAGAAAAGAAAATTGAAACGAAAACTGCTTTGTTTCCGAAATACAGATAGGAAAAGTGATGCCTTCTCGCTTATGTTTGCGTCAACTACAAACTACCACGCATTAGACATATGTAAGAAATTACGCTTCCTAGAATATCTTCTAAATAAATCCAAAATATTGGTTGTTTTCCTGCTAACAATTAACAAAGATCGCTATAACTAATTCTGTCTCACTTCACTTGACGATCAATAAATGCTGGAAACGATCTTCTTCAACGGCATATATCATGTTGTGTTACACTATGTTTAAACTACGCTTGCTGATTGTAGTATTGCTGTGTTTCCAAGGTAGGTTTTTATCCATGCATTGGTTTAGTATTTATAGTATTAAATAGTCAATATTGCGAAGATTTCTAATAAGATGTACAAGGGCTGATATAGTCCTTGGTTTTTGTTTTCATATTATTCTACATCAGAGCGTGTATGCCTTAAACGCTTCAATCATTCAAAATTTAGCCATTCAAGATGTCATGACTAATTGGCTGTTTGTCAGCCACCATGGAGATGATCACAACAATTGTCATAACTGGACTATGCCTTGTCGTACTGTGCGACATGCAGTGAAGATGTCTAATGATGGAGATCAAATTTATATTGAGTATGCACAAGGAATTAGACCTTATGTGGAATGCGAAAATGTAACACAATCATACTGCATCGAGTTAACAAAATCGGTTTCGTTTCATGGTCTCTACGGAAAAGCTGAAATTCGATGCAAGAACAGCCTGAAGTTTTTCAAGATTAGAAGCTCTAGTTTTAACATCACGCGAGTCAAATTCTTTAACTTGGTTATATCTAGTTCAGATATTGTAGCTGAACTTGACGTAGGAGCCAGGACGGAATTAGTCTTTCATAATATGTTGATCAGGTATAACCGACATGGTATATACAGCAAACGCTCGACTGACTGCTTCATTCTGATATTCAACTCCAGTATTGAAAGTAGTTTCTCAGGAGGACTACGCCTACAATGTTTGAATCTCACTGCACACATCATTTCTAGCAGCTTCAAGTTATCTCCGGTGTTGCTCGCGAACAGACCTTGTAAGCCAATAGTTTGCCAAAGACAGAAAATAAAGATACTTGTCCAAAATACAGTCTTTAATGGCGAGAATACCGAAATGTGCGCTGATATCTTTTCGATACGGCCTTATGCAGCCTTGGTTAACATAACAATAATTGGTTCAGAATTTAGAAATCATTTTGGATTTTCCTGTCTCAAAGGAGAGTTTTCTACAATAAGCATAGTCGATCATCACTCTATACCTCGACACAAAACATTTATATTTTTGAAGGATCTACTTGTTGAAAATAATTGCAATAAACAGCCTACAGTCGCGCTATCTGCAGGGTATTTAAAGCACACTTTTGTGAAAGTTGAGATGCGAGACAGTATTTTGAGGAACAATTCAGAAGCACTTTGGCTTCGCACTAATTATTTTGGTAGATATTCGGTTCCTTCACCCGCAATAGTCCTTAAAAATAACACCTTTGTTGACAATTTTTATAAGTTTATTAAACCTAATGTTGCAGCAGCAGTTTACTTTTACTCTGGTAAAATTCGAGTATTGTCATGTCGTTTCCTTGACAACAAAGCTAGCCCAAATCCTTACACAGCGGTAGCGACAATATCACATGCAGCCATTGTCACTTTCTTTGATTGTTATTTTGAAAACCAGCAGACTAAAGTACAGTCCAATCAAGTGTTTGCATTAGGAAGTAGACCACTTTATTTTCGTGGCCAAAATACGCTTAATTTTGTCGCCTTGAAAGATAAACAGGCGGTATTTGTTCGCATACCCATCTCCAAGAACACTGGGGTGGTTGTGAGCAAGAAATTTAAGATCTTATGTCCACAAGGCTACAAATTAAATCCGCAACAACAGTGTGTAGATATAAAGAATGCAATCATGTGTTATTATATGAATGTCCAATGTGAACAATGTCCAACCAAAACCTACACACTTCAAAGAGGCGAGCTTATTTTCAATAAAAGCAATGACGTCCAATGTCAGCCATGTCCTCGAGGAGGGAACTGTGATAGTGCATTGGTCAGAGCCAAACCAAACTTTTGGGGTTACAAAACAAAAATGAAAATGGTATTTGTCCAATGTCCCCCAGGATACTGCTGCGCCTCCGAGGATTGCGTCACCTATGATAATTGCCATGGAAACAGATCTGGTACACTTTGTGGTCAATGTCCAGAAGGAATGTCGGAAACTTTGTTCTCCACACAATGTATATCAAACACAGAATGCTCCTTCAATTATTTCTTTATAATTGGCACAATTGCAATGCTTGTTCTATATCTTGTCTTCTTTCTTTACCATAAAGAAATTGTGAGCATTCTTCGAACAAGTTTATTTAGTAAGCGCTTATCGTTCTCAATAAACAACAGAAACAAGCAAAGAAACAACGTTAGCACCGGTGGTAATACCTCTTCACCCAGTGGGATGATTAAGATATTCTTCTATTACTATCAAGTTTGTAATTTGCTACGGAGCTCTGTAGGTTCTTCTAAAAAGGGTCAATTCATTCATAATTTTGAGAATGTTATTTCAAGGGTAATGAATATGGTTCTAGTTAATCTTCCATCGTTTAAATGTCCTCTGAAGGATCTTCATGCTGTTCCTAAGGCCGCTATACTACACTCCGTGGGGTATTGTCTTCTTGTTCTTCTTTGTCTTCTTTATTTTTTAAGCAAGTTGATTCTGATCTTAAGAAGATTAGGAAATGGTGGCGATAGAAGAAGAGCGTTACAACATGTTACTTCAACAAGGTCTGATCATAGAATTAGCACCCCAATATTGTCATTTTCACAACGAGTTGCTTCGGTTTTCACTTACATTTCTTTATTAATGTACGCTTCTTCAGCTAAACTATGTCTTTCCCTGCTTCATTGTGTACCAGTTGGTGAAAATCAAGTTTTATTTCTTGATGGTAGTGTAAAATGTTACCAAACATTTCAATATTTTCTTCTTGCTTACATGATTACTTCCATACTTCCATTTTGTCTTGTTCCTGTTCTCGGCTCGTATCTTTTAAAGTCTGGTCGAATTGGTGTGAAACAATTTTGTGCAGCTTGTATCTTCCCTCTGCCATTTTGTTGTTTTTGGTTGAATTTGTTGCTTAAGGACTTTCGTTGTGGAAATCAGGGAACGTATAACACAATAGAAGAAAATGATGATGCAGTAAGATATGAACAAGATAATGACGAAACACAAAGCCTTAGTAGTGAAGAGAATACCTTTACCTCCTCCACTGATAGGAATGAAACCACTTCTACGAGAAGTGAACCAGCTGTTTGCACTGATAACAATGAAGCCACTTCTACGAGAAGTGAATCAGCCATTCTCAGTGTATTGTTGGGTCCATTTAGACATCATCAAACTTTTATGTGTTTTCCTTCTTCACATATTCCTTGGGAAGGTTTTCTCATCGTTCGTAGATTGGTCTTGATTATTGCGTTGACTTTCGTCTACGACATTCAGCTCAGACTTTTTGCAGCTTTAATACTTTGTGTTGCCATTCTAATCTTCCATATGTTTGTGAATCCTTTTCAGAGAAAAAGTGACAATAAACTGGAATCTTTTTCTCTAGGCTCACATGTGGTCCTGTGTGGTTCAACTTTAATAAAAGCTCTTTATTACGGTGAAGATTATTCTTCTTTTTCAAAAAGTTTGCTTGTGTTGAATGTGATTGAAAATATTCTTATTGTTGCTCCAATATCGATCATAATGATCGTTGTTATCTTCTCTCTTGCTATAAAGTTGGTATTTGGTTTCAAGTTCCTGGTATCGGTCTTGATTCGAAAGATCAGGAGGCGTTTCAGGTTTACCATGTAAATTTTAGATATTTAGTATAGTATGTATGGAGCTCCATATATGTCTTGAGCGAGAACTCGAGTCCAAAAAGTGAAGCCAGCTTCGTGTTAACCGCGCGGACAAAAACAATAGAAAGGGACTGGAACTGACGTCCTTTTGCTCTTCAATTTCCGCCATCTTGGCAAGGAGTGTGCCGAAATTTCGTATTTTGACTTCGATTTGAAGACTAATATTATTATTTTATTAACTGAAAACCTGATTAGCGAAAACTGGATTTAGCGGGAAAAAATGGTATAAAAACTGTTTACGACCTTCAGAGCTATTGGACGTCAAAGGCCGCCATCTTGGCTTCACTTTTATCATTGGATGAATGACTGACGTTCTTGAATGACTTGACGTTCCAGATATATCTAGAGCTCACTGAGTAGGAAGTATGGTTATGTAGATTAAGTAAATTCACAATTGTATGTTTACATTTATGGCAATTCATTTCTCCAACTTGATTAACTTGGAGTTTAAATATATGTTAAATGCATGGGATGATACGACAAGTTTCGTATTTGTGTAAAAGTCAAATATCAATTTTCCTGATCTATAATTTGTAACAATCAGGTTCAGTTTTGTTCAATATAATTTGATACGGGGTTATACAGGGATACGAGGTTATCTTCACCGTCGTTTGTCTATTCCACATTTTTCTTTGTCGAGAATGCTAATTCCTTCCGCTGAACTATAATCCATGTCACAGGCCACAAGTCACAGTTTTCGTTATTTTTTCATTAGAAATTAAAAGTAATACATAAAAAGTATAAGTTACTATCGCACACGGGTGTCTCGCTAGACAGCGGTCTCTGTTCATTGTTGCTACCCTATTCAAGCACCTGAGCCTTATATTTCTATAGATGTCACAAGCCTTTTACGTCATGCACTTATCATCTAAATCATATCCAATTATAGTAACAGTTAAACAATACTACCAGTCTTTGATAATTAGGATAATATAAAAAGCACTGATGAAGTCGGGGCTTACTGATCGAAAGCTTTGCAATAATAAATTTACGGGTATTTTCAAAATGGTTCAACACTTAAAAGTTAGTTATTGCGATCAAAAGCAGGTGGAAGTTAAATCTGGCATTCCTCCTTGCTTGAATTATGAATTATGTCTGAATATATAACCGTGTTGTCATATTTGTTGTTGTTTTTTTCCGTTTTAACCAACTTTAATTGGTCAAAATGTGGTTTGTTTTAAATTTAAAACTTTTTAATTTTTGCCATTTGGCTTGGATGAGTCGACTTGGATGAGTTGACTTAACCAGATTTCATTGGCAATCGTCAATTCATGATATAGTTTGGTTGTTTTATGCAATGTATGTTGATTGTTTTAACCAACTAATGAATGGTTGACATAAATCATGGTAGTTTGGATCAGCGAGTTTTTGCTCCATATATATCTGGAGCAAGAACCCACGTCCAAAAAGGGAAGCTAAGGATGGCAGGAATTTACCATCCAGTGCCAGTCCCTTTCTATTGTTTCTGTCTACGCGGTTGACACGAAGCTGGGAAGGAGTGTGACGAAATTTCGTGTTTTTACATCGATTGAAAGAATAATAATATAGTTTTATTACCTAATGACTTGGTTAACGATATGAATCGTGAGAAAAAACTGTAGAATTAGTTGGGGAAAATGATATGAAAACTGTTTACGTCAGTTTCCGTCATTTTGACTTCACTTTTCTCATAAGCTGACTGTGAGCTCGCTTTGTGGGGTTAACTGGTTTGGATGGTGAAAATTTGAGAAATCATTACACTTATATAAATCTCTCCTCTTCGTTTCTTTTAGAAACCTGGGTAAAATGCGATGACGATAAAATATCTCATATCACTGGAGAAGAAGTTCTAAAATTATCAGGAGGAGGTACAAGCCTAATATTAACTTTAATCTAACCATCAGCTTAAACCCCTAATTATGTTACCCTAATCCTTAATCTTAATCGCAAACCCAACTTCGATCGTAATCCCAAAACTGATCTCACCTTTTGAAGAAGATTTATGTAGCACTGCGGAGAACAAGGGAAAATTTCATCTCCTTCATTTTTTTAGGTGACTGGCATTGTGCCTACGTTCTATTGTACGGTCCTAGACAACTTGAAATATTACAAGAAACATCTTGAGATGACGCATTGATCAGATTCCCTCGTCATGGTGTTATTTGAGTACGGTACTGTGCTTTCGTAGGTGAATCAGATTTTTCAACCTTTTGTTCGTATTTCCGAAATTATTTTTGAATGCTAGATTTTGGGAGAGCATTTAACCTTTCCACTGAAAAGGACAATTATCAATTAACTACAGAAAGTTTTGCTTCGTCATCTTTGACATTTTTCACTGACGGGATAAGTCAGAAATCATGACATTTTTTTCAATGGAAATGACCTTCACTGAAAACCAAGTAATGTTAATAAGCCATTAATTGAAATAGGAAAAGCTATCGTAGGCAACACAAACTTAGATGTTAAAGTAGTTTCAATTTGAAATCAGGTTTCGTTAATTATTTTATCTATATTCTTATTAAAATACTGAACAATTTATCTCTGTTGTCACGCGATAAAACCAAGGTGATAGACAGTCAGAATTAGTTAAAAGGGAAATAATTAACTTAATCAACTCCCAAGGTTCAATTTTATCGCTAAAATTAGACAAGGATATACTAGTATGAGTATCCCTATGTTAAATCATAAACATGCATATATAGTACAATGAAATTGATTCTTGATCAAATCTTACAAGGACAGAGTTGAACGAGGATTTCATTATGGTCAGAGTTTGAATTTGTGGAAATTGAGAGAAAACTGTGTAATCAAAGATCTTTGTAAGGTTTTTATTTGTGGATCACGTTCACCTTCAAGCTTTACAGAAAGGATGTTAGGGTTTGTAATGCAAGTGAGAATGTACATTTTAAGACCTAACCATGCAGGAACGACTGCGAAAAATGCAGCACAAGGTCCTCTGGTAGGAATTGAACCTACGGCCCTGCGATTCCGGGCCGTAGGTTCAATTCCTGAGCTCTGCACCGGGATCACAGGGCCGTAGGTTCAATTCCTACCAGAGGACCTTGTGCTGCATTTTTCGCAGTCGTTCCTGGTTAGGTCTTAAAATTTATATTCTCACTTGGATTACAAACCCTAAAATCCTAATATTAATTCCACCAAGTGAAGTGCAAGAATCTAAATCATTCAAGTCCGCCTTTACAGAAAGACCATTTTTTAAAGATTTTCTTATAACAGAGATGTTTAATATCGACAGACCCAGAAGCATTGTAGGTAAGCTTTTTCTATTCACCATTTTGTATTCTTTCTCATTTTACAAACCTTGTGATAAAATACTTTTTCTTGTCGTATTGTAGGCCGTATGACAGCATGTGTCTTGTTTACTACAGATTTTTCGACAGTAATATCATGGATAATAAAATACATGGATAGGAAACTAGCTGACATGACCTAATGTTTTCAATGGGATGATGGCGTTGAAACCTAGTTGCAAACCAAATTCTCAAAAAACGGCATGTTTAGCGATAATACAGCTAAACATTTTAGTCAAAGAGCAAATAAATATAACTAGACCATTCTACGATGAAATCTCTAAGTATTCCCCGTCAATTTTAGCAAATATTTCAAGCACTAAACAGTGAAAAATGCATCGCAAATTTCGTAAAAATTGGCGACGCCAATTTCGTAGCTACAAATGTTAAAAAATACATAACAAAGACGAAAAACATTTACCTTGAATACTTTGTCGTGGCTTAGGCATGTTTTTAAAACAATTAGACCAGTTTATGCTTCAATATTACTTTTTTAATGCGGAAAATATAGCGAAACAACAAAAATGCTGAGAACTTTGGCAATACACGTGACGTCACAGATTGCAACAAGGTTTAGACTGTGACGTCAGCTAGTTTCCTATCCAGTTATTTTACAGTCCATGGTAATATGTAAGCAACCTCTGACGTGGGTCCATGCAAGGTAGTTGCCACCACAGAGACACTAGCCTGTCGAAGCAATCGTTGAAGATCATCATTGGAGACAAGGTACATGGCAGCAGAATCAAGGTACTGTAGAAAACCTATACTTTTTGGCCAGGGGTGGGTATTTATTTTTTAATTGATATTTGAGGTTGGGTAAAAAAATGTTTTACTTCTTAATGATTCGATCAACAAAATTTTTACCATGAAAAACATTTCACTTCGGTGCCATAAATAATGGCCACGCCCTAAATTAACTAATTGTTCATTGTGTCTTAAAATCCTACATTAGGTTTTCAAATGACATCACATTTGTCATTTTGACATCCTATATAATTTGTATTATAAAAATGTTTGTCGTACTTTCACTTTTTACCGACATTTGGCTTCAACAAGCCAAGGATATTTTTCTCAGTATATATCCCCATAAACATCATGAGTCTTTCCAGGCCGCTGAACATTGTCCCTAATCTCCGGAAGAGAATTACCAGCCGGATTATAAAGTGCTACAATATATAGATCATGTGTAAGCAGGCCATTCTTCTCTGCACAGCCAATCCCTATCTGTTTACTTTTCTTCCAAATTACTTGAGTAAACGACGATGTGTCCTTATCGACTTGAGGCGAAGAGAAACTAAAATGCTGTCCCTGGTTGTACCAGCGTTTCGTTGCCTCTTGTACACCGTAGTCGCAATGATATGGAACATTTGTTAATTTAATCGTATTCTCCCCGTATGTATTGTCCACCTGACTGGCAAGGTTCGACCGCGTACCATATACTCGGAAGTTTATACCGGAGATATTTAATGCCGGGATTGTATCTCGTATTTGGGCGTTTTGTTCCGCCAGCTGACGAGCCATATTCTTCGCGGCCGTCCCAAGTGCATTGGACCACGACAAAGGTGGTGAATGATGGATAAGACGGAACACGTTGTGAAGTTGCAGAGCTTTCATTCCGATATCGCTCTCGTCTATATTGCAAGGTAGAAACACAGTTTAATGTTTGTGACCACAGCAAGAACAGCCAGTGCTTAGCAAAGCACTGATTATATTTTAAAATAGACATAGAAAGTTAATGAATCTGATGAAACAAAAAAGTCATCATACAATTTCAAAACCAGTGATATTAAGGTACGAAAGAATGCTGAGTCTGGGATTACTGTTTTTGCAAGGAGATGGTATGTTTTGAAGCTAATTTTGACCAGAATTGTAAATTTCAGAAACTTTGTAGCATCCATTACTAAATCCACTATTTGAAATTACTTGACGAGACCTTACCTTGAGAAACACGCGTATCGCTGCTCATAAAGTATCCTTCAACTTTGTGCGTTTGCTTATTTTCAATCCTATCCACTGCATTCTTACCAAGCCATCCTAAATTCAAACAAAGTAAACACAATGAAAAAGAGGAAAAACCTGTCTTCTTATTTGATCCAGATCATATATATGAACGACATTGAAGATCAATGTCACAACCTACTAAACCTTTGTTTTTAAAGAAACTTTGTTTCAAAAGATTGCTGACTGAGTGATCCAAATGTTTATTAGTCAAGATGGTACACGAAGAAACTTACCACTGTCTACAGCTTCACGTAGTATCTCTGGTACTGATGACGTTCTGGTCACAGACTGCGATTCCTCCTGGAGTGTCTTCTTATATCCCTTACTATCTCCTGTGGTGAAAACGGAATGTAAGTCACAATTTCCCGACAATGACCCTTAATATATGTCATTCAATAGTGCCATTCAGTAATCGAAATGCTTTTTTGTCTTCTCGATGTTTTGAAATTCCCACTGTTCTCTTTGCCCAATCAAGTCACAAAAGGTCTATAATATTATATATCTTTCTGACTATTTTCAAAGTTACCTTTGAGTTTTCCTGCCGTGATAAGCAGACACTTTATTGATACACACAACACGAGCAGTACAACACGTTGAACCATTGTAGTGCGCTAAAATGATGTAAGAACAATATGAAAATGATGGTCAAAATAGCAATACATTGACTATGTAAAAATTTTGAAATATAATAATCAAGCTGGTTTGGAGCAGTTTGGCTGTCTTAAATAATAAACTTAATGGCTATATTGCATGAGTGCTCTACTTTGTCTGGTGGACTGTATACCTGATAGAATTTTGGCACTCTCCTGGACTCTGAAATTTCGTTCCTTGTATATGGCAGAAATATTCATTGTCGATAGTGTATATATCCTGTAGTTTTGGAACTGTTATATTGTTTATTTAATCGTACAGTAAAGATTAAACAAGATGAAAAAAAAATTATAGTCAAATTTTACGTTGAGTTAGATATTAAGTCTTGTTATTACGTGCATGAATTTGTGATGAGAACGTCTGTATAGAGGAACATGTATATCATTAACTTTTGACAAGTTTTGTATATCGTAGAGTTTGCTGTGAACATAGAAAGATGTGTTTTGTTAAAAATATCAAATAAATGCAGGTGGCAGTCTGCCATAGTAAATAATAGTTCTTTACGAAAACGTACTTGCCTGGCTAAAATATTAAACGTTAATCCGTCATCTTAAATTCGGCAATTCTCTCTTTCCATAAACTCGCTTTATCGTGGAATTTAAACACGCCTTATCGTTAAATATTGTTCATCTACAACTTCACTTTATTCAATTGGGCCCAATTTGAACAATTGTAGCAGGTACCAGAAAATAATTAATTTAATACAGTACCAGTGACCTCTATATATTTATCTGGAGCAAGTACTTCTGTCATTCGGCCTATGAGAAAACTGGTCACTTTATATATCGAAGTCACTTTAAAATGATAGATTATTATCACTATACATGCAAGCTTGCATGCGCGTGCATGTTCTATAACATGCTATGTATAATTTCAAAACGTATTTTAAAGCACAAGATTTTTTCTGTGTTGGTGTTGTGTACTCAGGTGAATATAATAATAATATTATTTTATTTTCACACAAATTGTTACACTATATTGGACACTAATTGTTACACTATATGTTTGTGATGTTACTCTGAGTGTATATCCACACCGGACAAGCTTGATTCCCACCGTGGCCAGGCATATTTTTCAAGCTTGTCCGGTGTGGATAAACACTCAGAGTAACATCACAAACATCATATTATAAGATGTTGATTGGCGAGCATTTTAACTGTACAAAGGGCAAGATTGCATTGACCTATACTGCAGTAGCTTTGCTAGCCTAAGAAACACCAAAAATTAAAGGCGCGAGCTTTATTTACCTCTTACACAAATTCTGTAACCTCGGTTTCGTGAAACACTCCTCGCGTATCTCTTGATAACAAATGCATAAATGAGATGCTTAGTTTTATATGCATTATGTATTTTATTTGATATGATTAAACCCCGGCTTACGTGGTGCCACGTTTCTGTTCATGGCCATTGTCGGCACATTAAAGATGGCAATTTTCTTAGCTTGTTCTTTTCTCAACAATAAAAAACTATGATAATTGCTATATGTGAGGCTTTTGAAGGGAAAGAGTCCCATATCTTGTTTGTTGTGATATAAAAATGCCATATATAGAAAAATATGATAAGATAATGTATACAGCCTAATCTATATGTATAATCTGAACACGAGACTTATACCGTTGTCTGTATATCAAATCATGAACAGTTTCAGATTTTAAAATACATTGTCTATTTTACCGTGATATAATTGACACTTCTTGGAGCGAGGGAAGTAGTATGTCTTGTGCACCCGAGACCGCCAATGTTCTCCGAAGCGAAGCCAAAGGAAATATTGACAGTCGAATGTCGACCGAAAACATATACCGCTGTTTCCCGAAGAATCCAGTTACCCAGTCAAAAAGTATTATTATGTATAAGAAAACGGAAAGGAAACGAGAAAACTCCGTAATCTTTGCTCCGTTTGTGTGCGATTTAATTATTCACTGGTCGATATCATATTGCATGTTCATGCCTCAGAACTATTGCCAGAAGACAGTCGAAAAATTACGGGAACCACTGAGTATTTTAATAAAATATAAAACAACGGTAACTACGAAAATAAACATTTTAATATTCTAGCTTTCGACTAAGATTCAGTCATCATCAGGAATGGTGCTAGGTTACATTACATCGAGATATATATATATACCGGGTGGCGCAAAAAAAAGTACAACTGTTTGATTACTTGTAACTTAGAAACAATAAGCAGTAGAACCATAAATCGAGTTTAATTGCATCCAGCGATATCTAACTTAAATTTTGGTATATTTGACAGGCATATTCGTCCAAGATTAACTGAGATATAAGAGTTTAAACTTTTGTTAACAATTTTGAAACGGTCACAAATTAGCTAAAAATCAGTTTAATAGGCCGTTTTTAGCTAATTTGTGACCGTTTCAAATTTGCTAACAAAAGTTTAAACACTCATATCTCAGTCAATCTTGGACGAAAATGCCTGTCGAATATACCAAAATTTAAGTTAGACATCGCTGGATGCAATGAAACTCGATTTTGGGTTCTACTGCTTATGGTCTTTGAGCTATATGTAATCAAACAGTTATACTTTTTTTTGCGCCACCCGGTATATATATAGTTTTTCGTTTTACCTCAAAGAACCACAACAGTCTGTTTCATCCGTATAGGAATCATCAGGTGGTGAATAATTTCGAAATTGTAGGTTGCTTCCTATACGGATGAAACAGACTGTTGTGGTTCTTTGAGAGTTTATGATTCCTATACGTTTTATGTGGTTCTTTGAGAGTTTATGATTCCTATACATTTTAACTACCTATCTATATGGTATTGAGCACTGTTTGTGTTTCGTAAACCAAAATCTTAAGCTATATATATATATATATATATATATATATATATATATATATATATATATATATATATATATATATATATATATATATATATATATATATATATATTTATATATATTTATATATTTATATATATAGTGAAGATTAATAATGTGTAATTTGATATGTACAGAAACGATTAGTTAAATATTACAAGTTCTTTTGATGCCTTAGTTCCGTGATTAAGTTCGGGTTTAAGTCGTCTAATGGCAAGTGCTTCCTTAAATAGCAATAAGGACCAATGATCAGATCTGTCTATAATATTAGAGTTAGTAAATATAAGTTCTGAAAGTATACAAGTTTGAGTTGGGTTAGTTTCTTCGTCTGGATACAGTTCTAAAATGGATTTGATATGTTGAAAGTGTTCGCATGATGTGATGTGGACAGTCGAATTGCATGACTTTTACACAAATTTTATGACTGCAGTTCAGCCAATCAAGTGTAATCAGTCTGATAAGCCCTGGTCAAAAGACAATGAGAGCTGGCGGTCACGAATTGTCACAGGGACAAATTTCAAGCATAAACTGGATTGGTGAGTGGTCTATATAACTATGTTTTAACTTAAATAAAGTACATGTTAGCAAACATTATAAGAACAGCTAACCAAGGCCACGTGACTGCCAACTCTCATGCACTCTCGTTTCATCCAGGCGGCTTTACGCCGATTGGCTGAGCTCTTGAATCAGAAACATCCACGTTTTTCGTGAGCATGGCGACAATGTTTTAGTATCTGCGAGTGTTCATCCTCAGGTGCAGCCGACGGTACAGCACTCTTCCTCACATTATCGACCTTTGTTAAAGTGTAATTAAAAGGCTATATACTTTAATGCCCACGTCTTTTCATTAACAAAGATTGTTTAAAATTCAACTTGAATAAACAAAGATCTTAATATTAAACAATTACAAACAATTTAAAAATCGCGTGGGACGACAATAATGCACTGCATGCAATATTTCGGGTTTTGTGAGCCGTATTTTATAACTCAAAGAAGCGTCCTTAAAAGAGCCCGGAAGCTATTTAGTTTTTAAGAAATTTGTTTAAGCTTGCGTTTCGTTGCTTCTTGCAGCATTTCCAGAGCAATATATCCAATCATTTTGCTCCGAAGCAACGGCGAAACATATAAGCTTATTGTAAACTTCTTAAAAACTAAATTGTTCATGGCCCGTTTTAAAGTAGTTGGCTCATAGGCTATATTATTTTTGACGAACCGGAATATTTTACTAGACTCCATAGAGACATGCAAATGATCCGTGCAAATGACGAACTTGGGCAAATAGAAGATAATGCGACGTATATAATCAGAGGTATATAATGGTCTTTGTTAAAGATGACGAGAGGAAGGATTTCAAGATGGCGGCATGTTTTCGCGATCATAAACAAACGTGGAAGAATCTATACAATCACTCAGCCGTATCAATCCTGAATCATACCCCAATCCTACACTTTAGCCCTAAAACTAACACCAAAGAGAATTTAAATTTTGAATTTAAATGCATGTATATTGTATAAGTTTGGAGTTAAGTTTAATATTTGATGACTAATATGTCTCCTGGGCATAAATTTGAACTTGAACTTTTAGCTCAATTATATGGAGCGTTATTGTTGTTGTATTTTTATGCGTTGACCATGCGAACGGCTAAGTGGACATAATAATATGGGGTTAACTAACTGCAGACATTAGCCCGCATTTTTGGCTAAGAACTAATGATAATTACAGAAGAACGACGAAACAGCAATTTTACAACTGAAATCGTACAAAATATTTTGGAGTATTGTTGCGTTTTAGCTGAAAATGAATGTACAAACACTCTCATTCAGACCCAATGCTGTTTGTTTTTCTCATTTCAGATCTTCACGCATGATATGTTCGAGTAGGTGTACACGTTTGCGCGTAAAAGCACTCATGACAGAAACGTCTATGATGAGATAACATCACTCATTTACGTCGCAGCTGAAATAAACAATTAACCTTCGCTCTTCTATGCTTCATATTGGCTGCGCGGCGCAAATAACTGCTATTTTTGCCATTTTCGTGCAAAGTGGTAACACGCAAAGCTTTGCTCATTTGCGGTGTGGCGGCTTTCGTGGCGAAAATGCGCTTATCATTCTGGACCTAGGCTTCCAAATGTTTTGATTTTTCTGGGAGACAAGTATTTCAATTGTAACAAGTTTCGAGTGATACTTATTGAAAGTTTCGAAGTGGACAAATTTTAGACACGGTTTTGTCTAAAATATAACTTGGCGAAGTTGTGAAATATTTACACACGAGAATGAAGATAGTATTGTGCGTGCTTCTAGGACTACTATTTAAGAGGTCAACGCTTGCTACAGATTTAACGCTGTATACAAACAAAACAAACTTCCCCCTGGAGTGGCCAAACTTAATCTACGACGTCTCAAAGATCAACCTTTGCAGAGGTGAATTGAAGTTTAAATTCAAGACTTTCGTAGAAGATGCTATAGTTTTGTACCAAGATGACGGTGGTATATCAGATTTTATTGCCATAAATTTACTAAATGGCCGTCTTCATCTAAGGGCTATATTTGGAAACAACGAAGTAGACAATAAAACCCGGAAAACCTACAACGATTTCAAGTGGCACTCCGTTGGCGTACGTTTGAACTGCCCTGAACCTTGTATTGAAATAACAATCAATGGTGTAGTGCACAGGAAAATACCAAGATCGAACGTTTGCGAATTGAGGACGACGTTACAAATTGGTGGCTTTACTGATACACGTTTGTCCGAAACTAATTCCATATCATACAAACGTCTTATACCCCAGTATATAATAACAAGGTAAGAGGTTTAAGATGTAAGTTTGCAACGGTTTGGGGAACTAGTGCCTTCAAAGCAGATGCAATATGTTTACCCCTCGGTTTCCACGTCCTCGTCTACAATGGTAGTTGTATTTGCTGTCGTAACTAAAAATGTAAAATTCAATGCTGTTTCTTGTCTCGACTCGTATACTTTAGATTAACGCCTGTATTCTAAAAGCTCACTCACACTCAATGAGTGGAGGTTCAATCTGAGCTTCTCTCGAGTTTCATTGCTGTTTTTGAATAGCTTTCAGTGTGGTACTTCACCATGTGACTACTCACCATCCAGCTATTCAAAAACAGCATTGGATTTGCGAGTGTGCACTCAAGAGAAGCTCAGATTGAACCTCCACTCATTGAGTGTGAGTGCGAGTGAGCTTTTAGCTTTTAGAATACAGGCGTAAGTCTTGCTAAAGTTTTTCATGCGCATTTGTATTTGCGAGTGTGTTCTGACTCAAGAGAAGCTCAGATTGAACCTCCACTCATTGAGTGTGAGTGCGAGTGAGCTTTTAGCTTTTAGAATACAGGCGTAAGTCTTGCTAAAGTTTTTCATGCGCATTTGTATTTGCGAGTGTGTCTGTGTGTGTGTCTTTTTTGTCAATACGACGAATTAATATGAATATCTGTGGGACTAATGAACATTGCCCAAGGACAAATTGATTCAATTCTAGTTAAATTTGGATGAAAAGTGGACGAGAATTGACCATTTGCCCAATAGACTAAATTTTGAACTAAACAAGTCTACACAAAAATTTCATCACAGCTTGAAGGAGCATTACAAAATTAGTAATATTCCAAAGTTTCGTTGCAAAATGTTGTAAAATGCGGAAAATATAGCCTTGCGAAATTTGCAATTTTCAGTCATTTTAGATTACAAATGGGAAATTGACAGCCCCAAACCCTTCGAGGCTGTCAATTTCCAGTTTGTAATCTAAAATGACTGAAAATTGCAAATTTCGCAAGGCTATATTTTCCGCATTTTACAACATTTTGCAACGAAACTTTGGAATATTACTAATTTTGTGATGCTCTTTCCAGCTGTAATAAAATTTTTGTTGAGATCAAAATTTAGTCTATTACGCAAATGGTCAATTAGCAAACGTTTGTCTTGTTTTGCCGGGCAGAGTAACCATGAATGCGTAATAATTAGCGCATTGTATAATTTATGCATGCATGATGCATAACTTAATTCGCTATACTTCATCTTGAAGGGTAATCCTTGTGTGTACCGTATCCACATATACAAAGGAATTACTATCCAGTTTTGCCCAAGTTCAGCCAGACGGTCGATCCGTTTCCGCATAGATCGATACAACCGTATAGAATACGATGTTTACTGATTATTACCCATAATTTGGATCTCTAAAAAATCAGGATCTTTGCACGGAAGCAGCTTTTCAAGCGGGGGGGTGGTGCTTTTTCACTCACCCCGATGGCAGCGCTATTAAAAGTTCCAGAAAATCATGCATGAGAGGCTTGCTTGATTGAGTTTTGGAGTTTCCTCGTCGCTGGGGCATTGCATAATACTTTGCAATACTAAGGACTATCAACGATGTACTACACGTTCTATGAAACTACTTAGTTAATAATATTAATACTATGTTTATTCACCGCCAGAATATTAATAATCTCGACAAATTAGCTGTAAAATTGCTTTGTTTATCCGTTTTCAAATATCAATATGAGAATCTTATTTGCAAGTCACAATCGCTACGAACTTTCCACTGGTCAGTTTTTCCGCTGAATTCACCTTGTTGAAGCATAGTTCACCATCTTTTGTGAATTCTTGGAAACTTTAAAACTTCAAGAAGCCACTTTAAACTGCAACATCGCAACCTACAATGAGCCACCTTAAATGCAACTTGGGAGGCGTGGATTGAGCCATAATAAAACTGCAGTAAGCTTCCTTAAGTGGACTATTGGAAGAAGAAAACTTCAGTCCGCCACCTTAACCAAATTATCGTGTGACCTTCAATGCTTCAAGCCGACTTGGTTCATGCAAATAGCGCGATATAATGCATGACTTGTGGCCAGACCGACCTACACATTTAATGAGCTACACGAGCTATTTACTCGTCATTTTACACGCTTATTGACTCCTACAGCTGCCATTGAACTAGCTTTGTAAAACGCGCAGGTGTGTTTGGCAGAGGAAATAAACCTTTTGGCGTAAAACCATAGATAAGATTTATCCAACTTTTGGGTCTTGTGGTCACTGGTTTTCAACTCTTGTGAATCATCGTTTATGTGGGAAAACATTTTGAGCACATGCTCAAAAACAAGTTTTAATTTTTTTTTCTTGATAATATTCTTTTATACACGTCATTTTTGCATAATGGACTAACACCCAAATTTTTATATAGCTGTCATGTAGTAGTAATTGTACATTGCAAGTTAAGTCAATTTAAACATCGGTAGTACCGATAGCAGTGGTGCATGACTTTAATTCTCTTTAATTCTCTTCAATTTGTGCCAGTCTAGTGTTATGGTTCATACACAATCATGTCTCTTCCATTTAATAAACTTATGTGTATAGCGCCCAAATGCGCGTAATAATATATTACAAATTAAGTAAACTTAAAAAACGGTTGTAAATAATGCTGTAGTAATTTTACCCTTATCTCATTTCCGTGTACAGTTCATTCACATTAAACAGAAGTAAACGGTGGATTGTGCGTGGGCTGTGTCATGAAATATATTATATAATGCTTCGCATATCTTCTCATTTAAATTGAACAAAAATAAAATTATAGTTCATAAAAGATGGCTAAGACAATTTTTTATTCGAAAGAAGAGAAAAAATTCCTCCTAATTTACATTCATCTCTTTGGGCTTATAGACCGTAAGTAGTATATATGTATTATAGACCGTAAGTAGTATATATGTATTATAGACCGTAAGTAGTATATATGTATTATAGACCGTTAGTAGTATATATGTATTATAGACCGTTAATAGTATATATGTATTATATTTGAATGCTGTTCTTAGGGTTTGTAATCCAAGTGAGTATATATATACATTTTGAGACCTGACCAGGAACGACTGCGAAAAATGCAGCAGTCGCAGTCGTTCCTGGTCAGGTCTTAAAATGTATATATATACTCACTTGGATTACAAACCCTAAGAACAGCATTCAAATATTAATACCACCAAGTGAAGTGCAAGAAACCAGATCATATATGTATTATAGACCGTTAATAGTATATATGTATTATAGACCGTTAGTAGTATATATGTATTATAGACCGTAAGTAGTATATATGTATTATAGACCGTAAGTAGTATATATGTATTATAGACCGTTAGCAGTATATATATATATATATATATATATATATATATATATATATATATATATATATATATATATATATATATATATATATATATATATATATATATATATATATATATATATATATATATATATAACTACAGACGGTACCGTTTCGGCCTTTTGGGCCTCATCAGTGTAGTGCTGATGAGCAGGATGAAAATATATATATACATATATATATATATACCGGGTGGCCCAAAAAAAAGTACTCCTGTTTGATTCGTAATAACATCTAAACAAGTATAGCTTTTAAAGAGAAATAACTTGCATCAAATAGAGGAAGGACTAACTTAGACTTTGATATATTCAGTTGTATTTCACTTAAAAATTCACGGAGATATTAATCTTTAAATTCGGGAGGATATTTCTGGATGTGTCTGAAATATGCAAAAATCGGCGTATCAAATATTAATCAAGATTTGCCCGACTGAAACATGCACTATTACCAGTAAATAAATGACACTTGACAAATTGTTTATTAGGAAACAAAGTATTATTATATCTACAAAATACAAGCAAGATTCATTCGTCCGAAATTCGCGTGTGTTCCTAGCACGAATACGTTTCCTTATTTCATGAGACCACTGCATCGCGAAGGATCGTCATTGGATCGTTCGTAGTTCTGAATTAGGGCATGCTGTCACAACGGAATTGTGAAGCTCTTCTAACTTCTGCAACGTTCTGAAATCTTGTTAAGAACACCCAAACTCTTTTGCCGTTTCTTAATCTTGGCAAGTTCATGGAGTAAACTGAGAATTATATGAAACACAATCAAACCATACAACTCCATAAGACATAACAATTAAGCAACTCCCCAGAGACATGCAACATTTTTGGAACAAAACGTAACAAAATAGTAGCGTTGATACGGTGATGTGTATTTGCAAAAAGCAATATTATTTCCTTCAATAAAGAATATTCATCCTGCTCTAACCGAGAAATAATCTACTCAGTCTGTTTGAACCCATTAAAAACATAAAAAAATTAGGCTACCGTATTTAAGAATACGAAAAATTTAAGCGCCTGCCTTCCATGGTCAGTCTTTCATGTACATTTAAGTTTGCAGACCTAATATTAAATACTTGCATAATTTCGAACGTTCATATTTCAGGAAACAATGAGCTAAGACTTACATGTAAGATGTCTAAATCTACGCCATATCCCTTACAAACCTTCACGATAATTCGCTGAAATACAAGTTAGCCTAATATGTCATTAAGCAAACAAACGCTGGAGTTAATATTTGATATGCCGATTTTCGCTAATTTTAGACACATTCAAAAATATGCTCCCCATTTTTAACATTAATATATCCGTGAATTTTTAAGTTAAATACAACTGTAATATATCAAAATCTAAGTTAGTCCTTCCTCTATTTAATGCAAGTTATTTCTCTTTAAAAACTTTACTTGTTTAGAAGTTATTACGAATCAAACAGGAGTAGGCCTACTTTTTTTTGGGCCACCCGGTATATATATATATATATATATATATATATATATATATATATATATATATATATATATATATATATATATATATATATATATATATATAAAATTCTCGACTCTTGTACGAAAATGTTTCCGTTGTAATTAGTGAAATGTGTATTTACCAAATGACAATGATTTTTGATATACAGTGGAATATTATAGTGCAGTTGCAGTGTGTACTATATATGTTAAAATGTTATTCAAACTTTGTCCAGGATTAAAAAAAAAGTTGTGGGGAAATTCGTAAAAGATGAGAGAAAATGTACAGTAAAGACAAAAGACGCCAAATTGATAGTACATGTAATTCTTAACTTTGCTATATTTGTAATTCGGAATAAAATATTATGTTTTATTTATTTACTAATCAAAGTCTGAAAAGACATTACTCTGTTGAGCAAAATTTTGGATTTTATGGATTTCATTCTACAGTCTTTTTGTATATATAGATTTCATATATCAATAATCGAGTGAGATTTATGAATTTTTACCACTGAAATTAAACAAACCAAACAAGAGCTGTCATAAACAATGAGAAATGT